TAAACAAATTTTTGAGTTATGAAAGTTTGGGCAAAATTAATTTACTATGACTTGGTGTTTCTAGGCCTACAGCCCGTCTTCACAGAAGTAGTCAAGACGAGTATGAGGAATCCTAAAGGACCTTAAGCACACGGACAAGTAGCTCAGTTTCTCTGGATCCTGAGAATTCATACTGAAAAACCCCAGCCTTCCTCCCCCACCTTTGCTGACAGCAACTTTCCCAAAGGAAACACAGTCCATTCTCTGTGATGTCTCTACCCCATCCCTGGGAAGGATAAAATAATGGGATGGGCCAAATAGCTGTCATCGACACTCAGAACAGTTTTATGCTGGGGAGAGGGAAGTATCCCCTTATAAAAGCCTGTCAAATCTTGAAGGAAGTGTTTTGCATAAGGGACTTCATTCTTTCCCAGCACTGAATTTCTGATCTGTGAACACCAATGATATAGGATGCCCACAAGACTTTGAAAAACTCAGAGAAAGAAGGGAGAACTATTAATTAACTCTCCTTCTGAACAACTTAAGAGACCCTAGAGGGAAACCCATCTTCATAACTTCTACGGAAAGATTGTATGTGAGACTGACTAATTTAAATATCACCAGCGCACGCACCCTTCTGAGATTTCCAGCACCGCTAACTTCTTACAGTCTCGACTTTTAAACTACAACAAAAGGCCATCTTATTGACCATAATTGTTTGTATTTGTACTTATAGCTTATTCACTATGCAAATCAAACATGCTAATAACTTCATCTGCTCTTCTACCTGTTCTACTGTGGAATGATACACTCCATTAAGAAGCTCTACGTGCTGTGCTGTCCACTGAACTCTTGGTTTTAATGAACAAATTTACCACAATAAATTTAAAATACACCCTTTTCTAAATATAAGTGTCTGGATACCTTCTGCAACAGAAGATTCCCAGAGTTGTTAAAAGAGTAAACAACCTCTCATGAGAACGGCACAACAAGGAAATACTCCTTTTGACACATAATCATAGGAACCAGTTTCTTTCCTCAGTTGTTAATGATACAAAAGGTGCTTTGCAAAACAGTTTACTACACTAAAAAGAAATATTGGTGAAATAATTAATTTCTACCTGTCTTGCATTTTAGCAACTAGAAACACGACATAACTAGCAGTATGTAACTGACCCCATTCTCCACAGATTACCAGCAAAACCTACATCTTTTAAGAAATATTCTGATTTATGTAACTTGTTCTTTAAGATTATTGCTGAACATAATAGATGTAAAAGAATGAAGAAAAGATGCACAAAGTTGAATAATGGGATAATAAGCCTGTGATTAACTAGGCAACTTAAGAGTGAATCCATGGGAGGAGAGCATTGCGTCATCCTGAATACATTGATCTAAATAGTCAATTCTTTTTAACATTAAGTATTCCATTTACACCACTTCACAGATACAGCTTAAGGCATTTTATTCAGCTTTAGTGGCTCTCCATGTTGAAATTAATGAGACATTTCAGAAACATTTCTTTTGTAAGTATTTCTACACGTTCGTGAAGGTACAGATTTATACAGGGCATTTTCTTACAACATGCCACAGAGATGACCACTATGTTGTATCAGTTGATACCAAAATAATAAGGTACCTTCCAGTTGCAAGGCTCAATGTCAAATACAATACAAATTCAAGAGGCAAACTGTTCCCCAGGTGGTAAAACACTGCAGATAGCTTTAATAGGTGACTAATTCAAGTGTCTATCCTTAATTTGGTGTGAAACTCATCCCTGAAATCCAATCAAGAGCTAGTTCTGACAGAAGTTGATGGCTTTAAAATGTTTTCACCTCTCAGAAGTTGTTAAGGTTTAAGCAAAAATGTCTGTTTAAGCAAAATCTTTACATCGTAATAACTAACCCAAATCTGTTACTCTCTAAAACACACAAGTCTTCAGTAATTTGAAGAGCTGCCTACCAGCAAGAAATTCACACCCTTGAGGCAGAAGCACCTCATCAGACAGTAGTTCTAAAGAAAACTCAGACCTAGACATGCCCAAAACAAAAAACAAGACAGCCCTGTCCTTCAGCTGGGAAGACTCACAGTCCCAGATATGGCCATGTGAGGTGCCAGAGGACTGACTTTATAGGAGCTGAATTACGAACTTAAAGCATAGACAGAAGGGAAGGAAGATCAGACCCTTGAATATCCAGGATACATCATCACAAGCAAATCAAACACTGAACTTACATTCCTATTTTAGCTATCAATTCTTTTTTATAGATTACACCTTTCTGTGCAAATTTAGTAGTGATTCAAATGCAAAGCTCATGCGTGTTAGTATCTATGATACCCTGGGCTTAGCAGCTAGTACTACGATAAATGATTTTGTAGGTTTAGATTTTTCTTTTCTGTGTTGTTGGACATCATTGTAAATTTTATATAGAACACTTAGCTGTCCTTGTAGTTTTAGACTACACAGCTAGTCCCAGTATAAAATAGACCACTTAAAAATAATAAGCCAAAGCTTGACTTCAGTAACACAACTGCATCAGTTGTTCCATTAACATAACAGGAACTGGAGAGAAACTACAAACTTAGTATCAGGTTTAGCAATATATTCCTGATTTTTGTTTTAAATCAACACATTGTTGCTTGAATGATTAATAAGAAAGTGTCATCCTGTTTCCATAAAGGATGCAATTTTGAAAATCTTTCAGTATAGAATTAGATCAACTTTAACTGCTTTTAAAAACTGCCCCCCATTTCTTAGACTTACGTATGCTACAAAAGACTTATATAACAATAAAGTCATCTTAGCCAATGTTTTTCCCATTTTATGTGCCATAAAAGACAACAGTTGTGATTTTCCATACTGTCTCAGAAATAAATAAAAAGGATGCATTACACTTGATACAGACCAAGTCATACAGTATCACAGAATGGCCTTTGTGAGATGAAAAGGTTAATCGCTGCTTTTAATTACAGCCAAGTAACTTTAATGAGAGCAAATACTGCAGCAGGTCTATAAACACAATGACCACATTAGCAGAACGCCAGCTATTAAACCCCTGCCAACACTGCCTGGACAGGGTTTGGTTTGGTTTGTTTTAATCAAGATACAGGTATCTTACCAAGTTCTGCTGCTTGAGGTATTTGCAGAGCCCTACATAAAAATCTGGAAGAGCAGGCAGCTTTAAAGAATGTAACATGCAGTAGTAACCATGACGATGAGAAAAATGCTTTTGCTAATCTTTTTCTTTCAGATGACAATTCTTCTAAATACTGGTGGTTTTCCACTATATTGCAACTTTTGTTGCTCCCTCTGAATCTATGCCTCCAGTTCCTGTAAACCTGAAATTTCTGACAAAGCGAACAGCAGTTTGGGGCACACTTGTAACACAGAATGAGTCCTAACCAGTCCACCAGCATCTTAAATGTCTGTGGTGGGATGGACATCACTTGTTGGTAACTATGTCTCATTTCCTTGTTGCACAGAACAGCTAGAAAAAAAATATTACATTTTTAAGCTAATTACTTCGCAAGTAAATGGGGAATCTGAAAAATAACAGAAAGGCAGAGTGTACACAAGGTATTTCTATGGAGATAATAAAACTGCTGCGTTAGGTTAGAATTCGGCCGTCAGCAGGCCAACCATAAACCTAAAGAAAACAGCTTGGAACTCCTCTGCATAATTTTGCCCTGGTCTTGTATTAAGCTGGGATTTTTAAGCAATAAATAATAAAATGAATAAAGATTGCTCAGAAATTAAGCTTTGTTCTCTACTTCTCGCAACAGACTTGCTCACCAAACTAGGATAATGCTTTCTTTGTATGTGTGTGTGTTCTGGATCTGAAATCACCTCTTGAAAACTGATGAAAGGGGTGATTTTCAAAGACATTAAGATACCTAAAGACGCATTAAGCACTTAGAATTTTTAAAACTGCCTGGGCATCTAACGCCTATTTAAATCACTTAGTCCTTTCTGAAAATCCCAATGGGCAGTTACCTACATTTTATGTGTCTATATGCCTTTGAAAATCTGTACCATTAAATACTTAACAACCTAAGTCCCCTTGGCTTTTAATGAGACTTGAGTCCTAAAAAGTGTAAGTACTTCTGAAAATTGGTCAAGCCACTCTCTCTGGTCTTTACTTCTTTCTTTTAAAAAGTCACTTACTAATGCTTATCCATAGCATGCCAGTTAACCACAGCTCCAACACTGTCAGACTTACACATTAGACTGTGCACATGCAATGTTTTATGTAACTAAACAAATAAAGGTCCTGAGTAAAGACTGCACCCTCATAAGACTTTCTGAAACTCCAAAAAAGAAAAGGAATTCCAAACTGTAACTCCATGAATGCCCAAACATCATTTTTTTCAATTAATATTACCCAAAATTAATATAATTTAGGCTGATAAAAAACAAACAGCAGAGTTTAATTACTCAGCAACATATTCAAATTACTACAAGCAAGTTCTGAAAGACAGCCACATAGCAACAAAAAATGTTCAGAGAAAAACTAGAAAAAGAAGGCAGCTGTGAATAGGCTCTTTAAACAGGCAGCAGTTCCAGAAAAGAAGACAAGCCTTAATTCTGAAATTTCTTTTTTAAACAAAACTGTATGCAACTATAAAGCATTCCCTTATGCAAACATTTGAAAGATTTATCTTCTGATCTTCTTTAATGTCAACGGGAGGTAACTTGCACTGACCACATTCCCAGAAAGGAACTGATTTGTAATTAGGAACGCAGGGAATCAGATTGCCACCTACAGGAAAATTTAGCATTTCTTGTCAAGAATGACTCAAAAAGAATACAAATTGCCATCCTGCCAAGCACTCTTTCAGTTTAGTTATTTCAAAACCAGTTAGTATTTTCTTGTGTGCAACTATATCATGAACTTCCTAAATCCAGAAAGCCATTAACAGTTCATTTTATTTAAGAGAGTATTGCTTGAAAGTTCCATAATGCAACTACAAAGCAGCAGATTGTAATCATGTTTCAGTTAAAGAATTTTAAGTCTGCTTACCTGATACAATTGGTGCTAGCCTGAATATGTCTGATAGTCTGCTGTTAACTGGCTCATAAGGGGAATCTTCAAGCAAGTCATTTCCTAAAGACAAAAAACATTTGGATTTTTTCTTATATGAGAATTCAGGGTAAGATTTTCTTGTTTACTTTTACTCTGAAATGAAGTTACTCTAACAGCAAAAGGTACTTCCCTTTAATTTGTTTATGTGGCTACTTCATCTCAAAGCATTATTTATTAAAACACCTGAAAGAAGCTAGTTGTTTATCCCTGCCACTAGTTCTTTCCTCTCCTTCCTCCATGGATAAGGTCATAATTTGCAGAGACAGCCTCTGACATCACAGGGACTGTCCTATCTCATGCCAGCAGGAGAAAAGCTGTAGCAAGGGTTTTCTTCTTCATTCACCCTAACAGCAGAGCTCTTTTTCTAGAGGAGCAGCCCAGCTAACAGCTAAAAACTCGCATCTTTGGAATAAAATGCTCCTAACAAGATGCTGTTGGAAAGGAAACTTTTCATGATCCAGACAACATCCAAGAGTGGTGTAACTTATTATGCAAGTTAGAACAAAAATACATATTGACTCATCAGAACGTTCCAGCTGATGCCTGGATAAATGACAGAAAGGGATGACTTCCCTTTCTTTGCAGAAGCAGCTACAGAAAAGAGTTAAATGGGGACCACGCTGAAGTGAAAGACTGCATCTTCAACTCTAGAGCCAGAGCAAAACAGGGCTAAAAATGATATGTCACATCTAAGGACCTGACTGTTCTCAGTAGACTATGGGAAATTTGCCAGCGACATCAAGAACAGAAGTCCCAAGTCAATCACTGTCATATCCCTTCTAACTGGCACTTCTACGTGCCCTAGGAAGCACAGACTTCTTTTTTTTCTGCCTCAGCACACCCAGGGAATATTGCTAGTAAATACAGGAAAGGAATGAATAAACTTTTCCTTAAAACAATGCTCCTCTTCATATTACATTTAACTTTCAGCAAACAGCTAAGAAACTAGCTCTTGTGATCTTGTTAGGTGAGTCCTAATTAAGGAGTTTAAATATTATTAGGAAAATGTCACCAAATGATTGTTTTTGTAGCTCTTGCACTTGCTAGTGCCCTTATCTTTTGACTCTGGTTTAGAAAGGTCAGCTGGGTCCCCTGGAGGAAACCCTCACTGTGGATTTCCCAACAACAGGAGACAGAGCAGCAGCTGTTCTTGACTCAGATGAAAGATCCTCAGTTCGCAGCTGAAGAGCACAATGTGAATGATGGGGTCAGACCCTCGGTTTAGCCTCAGTGGCAGTAGCTAGCTGCGGATGCAAGGGGCTGCAAAACCACACGCTGCATTAGGGGAGCGTAACGTTTCTGTGTTTTGCAACGTACCCTGTAAGCTCTGGTACATGCTCCAGTAAATGCGCAGGCAGTTTTTCTCCTTCTTCATGCCCCTCTTACAGCGGCAGTTGTACAGAGATTTCTGCTTGAGAGCTTCCATGGCGCTTTTGCATTCGTCCTTTGCCTCCAGGCCTGTCGGCCGGCTGAAGTTGCTCTCTTTGCCGGCTACACACTGCCTCAGTGTCCTGTATTTAGTACTACAGCTCTGCTCCTTGAGACACTGATCGCTGGCTTTCACGCAGTCGAGGCGGTCCCCTCCAGGCAGCCCGCTCACTTCTGCGGACAAAAGTACATCTAGAGAGGGGAGACACAAACCAACATACTCTCATTGAAGGATGAGGCTGATTTCACCAGGGCTCCAAATCTGGGAGCATCTGGGAAGCGCAAGGCACCTCCTCACACAGCACATGCAGCCGGCCCCGTGGGCAGCACCTTGCAAACCTCCGGGCTTCAGGCTACACCTTAGGAAGAAGCACACAGGGTTTTCATGGTCTTAGATCCACTTTTAGGGGAGTCCAAGGAAACAGTATGTTTTAACCCTGCTGGTTGATTTACAACAAAACACAAAAAGAAAAGAAAACCCACAGGGGTTAATGTGCCTGACAAAACAAGCATTCATTATTCCTTAGATTCACTTCAGTGAAACAAATAATCTTTCCATTCGAGTGCTTAACTGAGGGGTTAAATATTCGGCCTTACTTTCCACAAGAGCTTTGCTGTAATTTCAATTACATCCACAAACAACCCGCTCAGAGAGGCAAGTGTCCTCACTGGTTGGTATTAGCCTCTTTTTGCATCAGTCACTTTTTAAAGGCTGTATACATTTTTGCTTATTCTACACATATAAAGGCAGAATTTATGACACACACACACCATTTCTCTCCACATATTATGTTTTTGCAGGAGAACAAAGCAAATTACATTAACTCTCTCCTCTCCATCGTGCCCCTTGTCACGCTCCCTCAGACACACGCAGATGGAAATGCAAACGTCTTCCGTGGAAAGGAAACCAGTTTGGACTGCAAACCACTCGCAGTCAGGCAGGCTGCCAGGTTCAGGTGAAGATGTAATCCTTCAGCTGGCTCTTGTCATCCCCCCACCCTCCCCAAGCAGCCTTATTTTATAAAAATGAAAAGTTTCCCAGCAACTTGCGAGAACCCAATTTAACAAGAGGCTACACAGGCAAGTACCTAAGTCTGTCATCTCCCTGAGCTTTAAACGTAGACTGGGCTAACTGATGTGAGGCAGAGCCATAAAAACTACTGGAAACTTCACTGTTCTGCCTAAACAATAGACTGACAACCGTCAGGCATCCAATCTCATAAACCCAGTGCTTTGCTTTATGAAGCGATGTACAGACAGATATCAGATGCCAGCAACTTACCCACTAAGGGCAAAGCGAAGTACAAGATAACGAGAAACATCTTGCCGTCTTCGGATGGTTTCCCCAAACGAGCCGATGTGCCACAACAAAGAGGATCAGCATGTAGATATTCCAAAACCGCCGAGGTCCAAAGACTCCAAGTTCAGATCCATTGAATTCAAACGGAAAAAAAAAAAAAAAAAACAAAAAACAACCAACAACAAAAACCAAAAAAAAACCCTCTCCCTTTCACCGCTACCACCACCAGCGGCAGGAGCAGCGACACAAACGCTGAGCTTTTTCCCGTAGATTTCAGGTCTGAGCAACCTGAGAGCACAAGCGCTGACTCCAGCGAGGGAGCGAGAGGCGCACGCACGGGGGTGCGTGTGTGTGTGTGCGAGTGAGCGAGCGGGAGCGGGGCAGGAGCGCCGGTCGCCTCCTTGGGTGGGCAGCGCCTGTTCCCAGGGAGGGACCGAGAGCGCACACACACGGGGTGGGGTG